GAAAATAGCCGTTAAGCGAAAACATCGTAAAGCGAAATTAAAAACCCCATTGAAATGCATTGAAACCCGTTCAATGCGTTCCAGTGGGGTAAAAACTCACCGTCCAGCGAACATTCTCCATATGGCGGCCATTTCCGCTGCCTGTATAGCGAGGAATCCGTCCCTAAACACAGCAGGGAGCCATTTTAGTCACCCGGCGGCCATTCTGAAACCACCAGCTGTTCAAAAAATGTCATTTTGTGAAGAATCAGTTCCCGAAGCAGGGAACCAATCATCGCGAAGCGAAATTCCCCCATTCAGACCATCGTTTTGCGATTGCAATTGCGATTGCAAAAAGATTGTCATTAAGCGGTTTCATCATAATGCGGGGCAATCGTAAAGTGAGGCACCACTGTATATGGTGTGAAAGGTAGGGTTTCACCTTTCCAGAAGAAGCTCTTAGCAATATAGTTTGTGGTTTGTTTCCAACTCAAGAATCATTCTTTGTCATTTCTTTAAAAAGGGCTAAATAAGGATGTCACAGCTTAAAATTCTATATGGATTGAGAGAATAGCTATTTCCAACAAATTTCAGGAGACAGTTTAATGGAAACTACTCTGTAAGTGCTTTGGAATGTATAAAAATGACACAGGAAATTAATTACTTTGAGACAGGATGAGCAAAGTCATATGTCATTTTTCAAAAGTCACAGATTCAGCATAAACAGTAAGAAGAACTACGTATATGGGAGCAAGTTGCACTGCAACAAAGTGCAAAGTAAAGTTGTGAGATCTCAGAGTTTCTGAAGTAAAAAATGCCTTGTGTGTATAATTTCACTACCTGTGGGCCTGCCTCACAACAGACGTTGGGATGAATAATACTGGCTCTTATCAATAATGATATTCCATGCCTCCAGGATAGCTTTCCGACTAACATATCTTTTGTACCATTTTTGGTATACTAATGGTGTGTGGGTGAGTGAATTGTAGATGCTTCATAGATGGAATAAGGTGTCTGGAGATTCAATATCAAGATGCTATCTCTTTAAATAGGGTCAGCAAGTTGTGACTTTTAGATGTTGTTGGATTATACCTCCAGGGGGCCCAGCCAGCATAGTCACTGGTGAGGGATAATGGATGTTGCGGTCAAGGAGCATCATGAAGGCCACAAATTACCCACCTTTGGTTTTGAGTATTTTACCTTAAATCACAACAGTTGTGCTGTCTATTTTAATTTGACTTTGTGGAAATCTCACAATTTACTTACGACTATGGTAAATAATGTGAATAGCTTTTTAAAATTAAGCAAAACTTTTTGCAGAAAATTGCTTTTTCTTACTTCCTCCTCTCTTCAGACACTTTTCACCACAGCTTCCATCAGTCCCAAGCAGCATGGCCAATGGTAAGGGGTAATCTGGAAGGATGTCTTATACAGGCCTGAATTCATGCAAGCATGTACAGCTATAAGTGTTTCCAGGACTAAATGCCTTTAGTATATTTGTATACATTTATAGGAGTCTGTTACTTTGGGATAGAGCATGGTTGATGAAACAAGTATCTCTCCCTTTTCTGTTTCTGTAATGTGTGGGGGAACCTTTCATCTGCCATCAGAGTACATCTCCCATGAATACTAGCCAATATGAACAGTTGCCGGGGTAATAATAATTGGAGTCCAGCAATGTCAGAAAAGCCGCACAGGTTTCCCACTCCTGCTATAATTCTTTGTGAGTTCTTATTTGTATTTCATATCATGTAATTAGTTGCACACATGTGTTAACTTGCATGAGGGATGTTCACATGTAATTGCAGGAACAGAGTTGTGTCTATGGCCTCCTCAAAATTGTACATTATAAAATGGTTTTGTGAGTGTGTAGGGATCCATCCCATTTCTTACCATGTATCTGAATAACTTGGCATTTTAAAATACGAAGCATGTTCAAACAAATAGAATGTTCTCTTCAAGACCTCTGTACTCCACAGGGGAAAGAGGCTGGTAGGGAAGCTGGCCCAAAAGCATCTCTTCAGGAATGAGATAGTCAGGAATGTGGTCTTGTCGGTGTATGTCAGCGCTCTACATTTGTATGATGCAAATATGAAGATAGAAAGATGTCATTCTTTCAAGTAAAAGTGGGAGAGACATTATTCTTTGGACCCATGGCAATTTGCATACAGGAAAAATAGATCTACTGATGATGCTGTGTCCATTGTACTCCATACTGTATTGAGCCACTTAGAACATCAGGGAACTTATGCGAGGCTGTTGTTTGTGGATTATAGCTCTGCTTTTAATACCATTCTACCAAATAGGTTGCTTTTTAAAATGATCAACCTGGGATTACCTCAGGAGATCTACATGTGGATAAAGGATTTTCTGACAGATAGGCCACAGTCAGTAAGGATGGGATCTCACCATTCTTCTACCCTGGTACTAAGTACAGGAGCTCCCCAGGGCTGCGTGCTAAGTCCCTTCCTCTATTCCCTGTACACACATGATTGCACCCCACTGTATAACACCAATGCAATTATTAAATTTGCGGATGATACGACAGTGGTGGGGCTCATAAATAAGAACAATGAGTCTGCTTATAGAAAGGAAGTACAAAGGTTGATACTTTGGTGTAAAGAAAATCATCTCACACTTAACATCAAAAAAACTAAAGAACTCATAATTGATTTTAGAAGGAAGAGAAAT